CCCCTGCTCCCTTTGTTTGCTCCTTGCTCCTGAGCTCTGAGACCTGACAGTGCAGGGCGTTGAAGTGCCCCGTTGGTCTGCCTCAGGTTTCTCCTGTGCAGCACTGTGAGCTTTGAAGATTCACTGAATATTTTCCCAGTTTTTCTGTGGAATTTATTAAAATATATATAAATTCACAAATAAGAGCTTTAAAAAAGATTCTGTCAGAGCAGGGCTTCTCACTGTTGACATTTCGGACAAAAATCCGATGTCGTGGCTGCTGTCTTGTGTGTTGTAGGATGTGTAGCAGCCTCTCTGGCCTCTGCCCACTGGATGCCAGGAGCAGCTCTCCTTCCCTCCAAGTTGTGACAATCAAAAATGTCTGTCCCTTCGCCTGCCCGGTGGCGTAGCAGTTAAGGGTGCATGCTCCACTTTGGCAGCCCGGGGTTCACAGGTTCGAATCCCGCGCACGGACCTATGCACCGCTTATCAAGTCATGCTGTACTTGACTTACATACAAAATAGAGGAAGATGGGCCCAGATGTTAGCTCAGGGACAGTCTTCCTTACTAAAAAAAAAAAAAAGTCTGTCCCCTGGGGGAAAATAACCTCTTCCCTCCAGTTGAGAACTGCTTTATTAAGGAGGAATAATCATTCATTAGCATAAGACCTGAGGTAAGATAGAGGTACCAAGCACTTAATAAATTAAAAAGAAATTTTTCCTTTAGTTAGTATTTTTTGGGACCACATCCTAAAATCAGAGCTAGTCCCCCTCAGTCAGTACATGTCTTTTGAGCATCTGCATAAAGATGAAGAGCATGCTAGTCTCATAGAGAGGTTGTGCTACAGAGGGGGAGACAGATAGGAAATGAGAAAGGGTGGAGGCATGTACAAGGAGTTATGGAAGCCTGGAGCAGGAGGTGATGAACTCTGGGGAAGCCAGACTTTTGGGCTTCTAGAGAAGGAGGGGAGAGTAGATGTTCCTGAGACTTAGGAGAAGAAGGGTTTGTGTAGAGCAGGGAGAAGGGAAGACACTTGCGCGTGTCTGGGGACTTGGGAGAAGTTTAGGGTTACTGGAGCATGTGGAGAGTGATTGAGCTGAAGATTAGGAAGCATATTGTGAGCTTTGAGGAGTTAAGATTTTAGTCTCAGTTCCCACTTTTCGATTTCATTATAAATTCTCCAGGAATCAGTTGTTTATTTGTCCGTCTGTCTGTCTGTCCATTCATCCATCCATCCATCCTCCATCAAGTATGTGTTGAGGGCTTATAGTGCTGTGATGGATACAAGGAAGCTCAATGTGGTCTCTGTCTTCAGAGACCATTGTTGTGGTGACATGAATAATATGACAAAAGTTATATGACACAAGGGTGACTGAAAAACCCAAGGCAGTGCAATAGCAGAGGAATCGTATGGCGTTGAGTCAGTGAGGCCCATCAGGTGCCTCCAAGGATGGAGTCGCACTCACACCACCTTGGGATAGAGAGGGTTTACTGTAAGGATGAGTGCCAATGCTTTGGGGCCAGATGCTCCTTCTGTCTCTCATAGTCTGCTCCACTCTCCTCTCACTCTTCTCCAACCTGTAAGGTATTCTCTAGTCCAAATCTGGACTGGCACATTGGCTCAGCTAAATAACCATCGTCCTCAGAGCCCCACCAGCAAGCCTCTGCGTGGGTGGCTGGCAGCCTATGGATGGGTCATTGGGTCAGGTGTCTATCGTTGGTCCATTCAGAGGCCACCTCTGCACAATGACCAGGCAGGGCAGTCCCAGCTAGTGGCAGCCTCCAAGAAACTAATGTGTTCTATGATTGGTACAGAGAATAAATACCAGAGGAGAGAGCATAGAATAGTGGAGAAAGACTGTGGAAGATGTAGATGTGAGATTGTAGGATTTCTCATGTAGTGGTTTGTGAACTTGATCTGTCGTATTGCTTTGATAGGAAAAAAAAGATAATGCTCTTAAGGAAATTTAGGTGCTTAAAAAATTAGAAGTCTTCATAAGATCTGGCCCTTGCCCACCTCTTTAGCCGTGTAAAGTGCCACCCTTACCCTTGAACTCTATGCTTTAAACATATTATATCCTTTAAGTTTCTTAAACTCACCAGTCTGCCTTATCCTGGAGCCTTCTCATGCTGTTCCCTCTGCGTGGAGCGCTGTTTTTCTCCTGTTATTCTGGCTACTTGCCTTGATCCTTCCGGCATTGTCTAAAATAGCCCAGCCCCCTGTGATATTCGCGTAGCACTCTGTGCTCTTGGTTCATCCCTGTCATTTTTTTTTTTTTTGTGAGGAGATCAGCCC